CAATGCCCCGCCCAAGTTCGCGTGAAATCGGGGCAATGACCTTCTGAAATCAGATGCCTCGAGGTGCTCCGAGAAACGCGCCGATTTTAAGGCGAGAAAGCTCAGAAATAATCACCAATGGTGGGGGGTTTGGGGGGCTTCCGAAGCAGAGAACCGAATGCGCAGCCGCATTGCCCCCAGATCGAGGAAATCCGGAGACGCGGCCGGAGAAATCCGTCCAAGAAATCAGCCGCAAGAACGCGGGAGAGATTGAAAACAATCACAGAAAGAACAGGTCTGGGAAAATGCACCAACACAAGGCACCACCAAATTGGCGGCTGGACGAGCCACGAATTTGGGCGTGATCTGGAGCCGCCGAGGGGGCCAGCGAATTCTTTTCGCGCGCGCCCTCTCTCTTTTCTCGTCTCGCCGCTGAAATGGGGAGGATGGACGAAGAAACGGGGAGGAGAGTGAGAGAGAGTGAGAGAGAGAGAGACGTGGTAAGTGCGAACAAGGACGGTGATGTGCATACTGTACAGAGAGAATCAGAGAAAGTCACGCACATTTCGGATATGCAACTTCGTAAATCGTTTCTTTTCCTTTCGTTTCGTTTACATTCTTGTCAAGAACATTCCGTCCACGGTTGGTTCAAAGCACAAAATTTGAGAAAGCATATTAAACATAGGACACATGCGTCCATTTTTGAAATATATTGTGTTGCCTCCGTCTAAATACTAGGACCTACCACCTTCTTCCTGGTTTATTGATCCCATTATATTTTGTGTCAAATTTTGATCATAAATTTAAGTCGAGTGATATGCGCCGGTGCGCCGGTCGAAATTTGGGCCGGCCGCACCAACAACGTCGGATCAAACAGCAGGTAGCCACACGATTCTCGTCCCTTCCTCTATCGGATGTCTTTTTCTTTTAGAAAAAGAGCTTCCATCAGAAAAAAAGCTTCAAGCGTGCCGCCATGGACTAGCGACGCGCCCGGCTTGGAAGCACCGCCTGCACGTCTCTCCTGTTGCTTCCCTCGCCGCCGGTCGCTGCTCTCACCGCCGGCCGTCCTCGTCGCAGCCGCTGTTGCCTCCTGCGTTTCTTGCCGGCTATGTGCATGCAGCAATGTGCGCCCGCGGTTGCAGCTCCCCGTGGCGCCGGTCGTAGCCGGCCGCGACTCCGGTGGCGCCGATTATAGCACGCCGACAACGAGCTCGCAGAAAAGGAGTACTCACTCTCAGGTTGCCGGTAGCAGCAAAAAAATTACCGGTCGTAGAAAAAATGCTCGCCAGTTGTAGCAAAAACATCACCCATCACCACCACATGAAGAAGTGATGTAGCAAAAGACATAGCAAGTACCAGCAAAACATAGAGCTGGTTCCAGCAAAAATCCACGCCGACCGTGCGAGGCACTTCCATTCAGCAAAAAACACACGAAGCAAAATCCAAAAAGAAGTAGATGTAGCAAAAAAATTAGCAAGTTCCAGCAAAACATAAAGTTGGTTCCAGCAAAAAAATGTCCGCGGTGAGAGGGGGCGTCCAGTTCCAGCACCGACGAGCGCCGGTTCCAGCAAATATCGTTGCTGGTTGTAGCACCGCTGCTGCCTGGTGCCCTGGTTCCAGCAAAAACTTCGTCACACCAAAAATCGCCGCCTCGTCGCAGCACCGGGCTCAGCCGGTTCCAACATTTTGCCGGTTGCAGCACTCATCGGCGTGGTCACCGTGCCCATGGTGGGCAGCGCCATGCTCGAGCGGTTGCAGCATCGCTGGATGCCGTCTCCAGCACCAGTGGACGCCCCCGTCTCCAGCACCCGCTCCGCCACGCCGCCCCAAGGCTGCCGCCGGGTAGTGGTTAGCAGCGCCGCCCCCCGTCAAAGCCATGAGCATGGAGAAGGTGCAGGCCATGTTCACCCCATTGCCTTGCGCGATGACGGATGAGAACTGGTTTGGGATCCATGGGGAAAAGGAGAGGAAGTGGGAAATGAATGGACAAGAAGGCTCGTGAGGGGATAAGGAAAGGATAAACAATGGTGCGTGGGCCTGTTTTGATGCGTGGGTGGATGTATTGCGTGACGTGGAGATGGAGACCGGCCGAGCGTTGCGCCAGCCCGCCGATTACAAACATTTCCCTAAATTTAACTAACGAAATGTTCATACATGTCACAAAAAATTATATCACTGAAAACTATGTTCAAATACGAATCCGACGATATAATCTTTGTTGACATGCTTTAACATTTTGTTAGTTAAATATTTTGGTAAAATTTGGTACAAATTAGAAAGGGGACAAATAAACCAGGACGGAGGTAGTAATACGTTTTATGAGTTACCTTTGAGCATATGTTAGTGCAATAATGACATGCATGTTATACAAAGGATGCCGCTAAATTCGTATTTGAAAGGAGTTTCTAATGATATAACTTTTATATCCATCATCTCATCTCATATATTAGTGATTTTATTTATGGTCAAAGGCAAGGAAAAACTCATTAGCCCCTATATATTTGGAGCACCAATGTCAACTTACAAATAATAAAATTTAAGTGACACTAATTTACTTTTTGATGAATGCCTTGGTGGCTAGCTTCATTTCTTTTTTAAAAGGAAAACACTGTCCACAACTAAAATCCTTTGGTGGCTTCAAGCTGGGCTCAAGGATGGCGGCAGGCGGCCGCACCCTTCTTTTTCAACCTCGTCGAATGATGATGGCATCGACGGGTGAGGGAGTCCTGGATAAGGGGGTATCCGGACAGCCGGACTATATACTTTGGCCGGACTATTGGACTATGAAGATACAAGATTAAAGACTTCGTCCCGTGTCCGGATGGGACTCTCCTTGGCGTGGAAGGCAATCTTGGCCATTCGGATGCAGATCTCCTTCTCTGTAACCGACTCTGTGTAACCCTAGCCCCCTTCGGTGTCTATATAAACCGGAGGGTTTAGTCCGTAGGACACGACAACAATCATACCATAGGCTAGCTTCTAGGGTTTAGCCTCTACGATCTCGTGGTAGATCAACTCTTGTAATACTCATATCATCAAGATCAATCAAGCAGGAAGTAGGGTATTACCTCCATCGAGAGGGCCCGAACCTGGGTATACATCGTGTCCCCAGTCTCCTGTTACCATTAGCCTTAGACGCATAGTTCGGGACCCCCTACCCGAGATCCGCCGGTTTTGACACCGACATTGGTGCTTTCATTGAGAGTTTCTCTATGTCGTCGCTGTAAGGCTTGATGGCTTCTCCAACCTTCAACAACTCCGCCCAGGGTGAGACTTTTCTCCCCGGACAGATTTTTGTGTTCGGCGGCTTCGCACTGCGGGCCAACTCGCTTGGCCATCTAGAGCAGATCGACAGCTACGCCCCTGGCCGTCAGGTCAGGTTCGGGAACCTAAACTATATTGTCGACATCCGTGGAAACTTTATCTTCGACCGATTCGAGCCCACGTCAGGAGCGTCGAACGATCGCCACGCGCATGAATTAGATCTGCCGTCGGACAGTATTTGGGATATCGCGCCTGCCATGGCTTCGGACTTTGATCCAGAGCAGATCGTGCCATCTAAGGACGGGTGGATGGATCCCGCCACGGAGGTCGCACACCTATCGGCGTTGGAGCAGAACACAGACTCCGCTTCTAAGGAAATCTGTGTCTCCGGACCCCCGGACTTATCTTCAGTCGCAGGTCCCGGACCGCGTGCATCCATGCCCATCGAATCTGATTGGGCTCCGGTCATGGAATTCACCGCCGCAGATATCTTCCAGCACTCCCCCTTTGGCGATGTGCTAAATTCATTAAGGTCTCTCTCTCTCAGGAGATTCCTGGCCGAACTATGTTCGGCTCGAGTGGGAAGCAAGCGACGAAGAAATTCGTCACCCACCCACCACCCACTTCATAGCCATGGTCGATGATTTGACCGACGTGCTTAACTTCGACTCCGAAGACATCGACGGTATAGACGACGATGCAGGAGAAGAACAGAAACCACCGCCCACAGGGCGCTGGACTGCCACCTCTTCATATGATGTATATATGGTGGATACTCCCAAGGAAGACAATGGCGATGAGGCAACAGGAGATAACCCCTCAGGGAAGAAATCAAAGCATGGGCGTCATCGGCGCCGCTCCAAGCCCCGCCACAACAACACTGGCACTGGAGAAGAAAATAATCCAGATGGCGCCGAAGAGGAATACAATCCTGATCAGCCCACCTTTGAGCAAGCCGAACAAGAACACGGGCAGGTTAGCCTAGATGAACAGGCGACGGACGGATACTTGAGGACAATAACTATATGCCTCCCTCCGAAGACGAGGTGAGCCTCGGTGACGACGAATTTGGTGTACCGGAGGATCCCATAGAGCAGGAGCGCTTCAAGCGCCGGCTTATAGCCACTGCAAGAAGCCTAAAGAAGAAGCAACAACAGCTACAAGCAGATCCGGATATGCTAACAGACAAACGGACTAAGGCCCGGGCAGCGGAGGAATACGGACTCAAGCGCCGAACACAATATTACCCAAAGCGTAGGCTACTACCTCAATTCGACGAAGAGGCACTAAAGCCCGGACGACAGCCTAAAACCCGCCGCCAATACACTACGGCCAGGGGCTACGCGCAAGATAAAGAAAGCATACTAAACAACAACATAGCAAGCACCCTGGGCACATCAGCAGCCAGGAGCAGCGTCCACAAACCCTGACACAACAAATATAAGCGTCCAAAGACAAGGGATGACACCCAGGACACGACAGTCAATACAGGAGCCCGCAACCCTCAGCCCGTTCAGCGGGAGAAGATATTTCAAAACATGGGCCCCTCCAGCCTGAACCGCATACTTGACCGCCCATGTCAAATTCATGGTACCC